CTGATGTTGGAGATAGGATACTGGGCTACATGGATCCTTGGTCTGACTTAATATGGCACTTCTTATGTTTTTATAGTCTCTCACTACTAAGTTAGGCTTCAGCTGGAGTATTATGGATAGTTCTTGGCTCTGCACTTCAGGAAGGATATAGAGAAACTAGAAGAGACTCAGACATGGGAATAGAATCATGCCTGAGGAGAGCATGGGAGTGCATCTACTAGCCAGGCATGAGTGCCCACTTGAGAACATACATGGAGCAGTGTGAGGCGTGCAAGGAAGACAGTGACAAACAGCAAAAAGAGACATTAAACCCTCATGACATCGCCTCTCAGCCCTGGGAGAAGGTAGAGACTGACTTGTTCAATGTTAATGCCAGAATCTATATGGTCACCATAGATTACTATTCCAATTTTTGGGAGATGAATTACCTCGAAGGCAGGAACGGTGATCAGGAAGCTGAAGGCTCATTTTGCATGGCATGGGATACTTGACACTCTGTTCTCAGTCAACAGCCTACAATACACCTCAAGAGAATTCAAACAGTTCTGCACTAGATGGGAAGTCCAGCACAAGACATCATCCCCTGGGTACCCACAAAGCAATGGGAAGGCTGAATCAGTGCTAAAAACAGCCAAGAGACTCTTGTTGAAGGCAGGTAAGACTGCAGGGGATCCCTGCCTGGCTCTATTGGACCATCGCAACATACCCTCCCAGGAATGGACAGTAGCCCAGCCCAAAGATTAATGGGCTGGAGAACTAAGACATTACTCCCCATGAGAAACTGTTTGCTACAACCCCGGGGTTGACACTACATGGAAGCAGCTAAAAAATCAACAGTCTCAGTAAGTATCACAGTATAACAAAGAAGCCAGGGACCCGAGACCACTGTGCAGAGGGGAAAAGGTCTGGGTACAACCAGTAAGTCCACATGTGAAAGAACGGCAAAAGGCCACCATTGAGGGTGCATTGGGAGATGGATCCTATGAAGTTGTCACAGACAGTGGACAGCAACTGAGACACAACCGGAAGCAGCTGTGGAGTGCTGGCAGAGCGGAAATACAGCTGAGCAAAAGATCCCAGGATCAGCACCAAGACAACTTTGACAACTGGTCAGTCATCATTGAGCCCCAGATAGGAGAGAAAGATGCCATGGACTCCACAAAGGAAAAAGATAGACAAGCAGAGTCCAGCCCACAAAACAAAGACATGGACAGAACAGAAGCAGGCGTAGCACCCAGAAAAATCAAACAAACAAGAAGCAGGAGGCTGGTACAACAACCAGCGAACCTGGATGACTATGAGCCCTAAAGAACACAGCAGACCAGTGGTAAAGGCTCAGTCTCCACTGTGGGGTATATGCTAGCAACCTCTGGCCCAACCAGGGGAATAAGTTAGTCATCTGTTTAAACTGTTGAAAGGAAAGGTGTAACAACACGTATGGATCTCAGAGGCATAACCAGCAGCAGCAGAAAGGAGGAGTCTGAAGGAGGAACAGGAAGTGTGGGCAGGGAGACAGGAAAAACAAGAGAGTTAGAGAGGCTGGGGGAGATCAGTATCTCTGTAACAGCTCTGTAAAAAACTGCTATAATAAAGACACTGTTTAATTAAGTAGGGAGCTGTTCCTTGATTACCCATACAGGGTCACATGAAATGTTTCCCTGGCCCTCCCATTCCTTCCCTTGCTCTCTCTACTTATGCTTCTGGATGCAAGGAGACCCACCCACCATCACCACTGTCTTGGTATCTTCTGCCCCACTCCATCCAAGGCTGTGGAGAACCTATACAACAGGGGTGTCCAAACTTTTTGAATGTGGGGCCAGATCATGAACTTTTTATTCACCCAGTGGGCCTGCGAGCCATATTCAAAGACCTCACAGGAAGTGGTATCACATCAGGAAGTGATGTCACGTGACCTTTGACACCAATGAAGTTCTCAAGAATATATGAAAGGGTCAGGAGCAAACTTTAAAAGTGGGTTCTCCTTTAAAGGAGAAAAACATATAACTGTGGCTCTTCTCTTGTGGGCTGGCAGAGTTCCAGCCTGCAAGGGGCTACTTGGGGCCTCCCCATGCCCCACACACTGGGGTACTGGGGTCTGGAGGTAGAAGCAGAGAGAGACACTGGGTCAGGACTGACCGTCTATGTTTACAAATGGGTCCTGGTACAAGAAAGGTTGAGAACCACTGATCTAGACTGGGGTGGGCAATTATTTGAGGCAGAGCGGAGCAACACAGGGCACAACCCTTGCCCCTCAGGCTCCCAGTGGTAAGCCAGATAGAATCAATTGGTGGGCTGAATACAGTTCATGGTCCATATTTTGCTTACCCCTGATCTAGGCATAGCTATGCCTGTGTTCTACTATGGGTATTTCTCATGCTTCTGGGCTTTGCTGGTTGCTCCCACCACCACCCTTCCCCTTTCTGCTATATATGCCAGAGTGTTTTTAAGTCTTCCTCAGAGGTACTGGGTGTTGGCTACAGCCGAGGCTAGGGACTTTGACTGAGGTGTGCCAATGCTCCTTCTGGGACAAAATCGAGAGGTTTTTGGCTAGAGGGTTATGTCCACAGGTTGACAACCTCTTCCATGGGTGCCAGAGCATTGCACACATAGGCATTTTGCTTGGCATATTTGCCTCGGGGCAGACTTCAGGGGAAGGGCCAGGGCTGTGCTGCCACAACAAGGATAGAGCCGCTCATGGCTCCCCCGCTGTTTGCCACTGGCACGCCAACATTTTACAAGTCAAGGCTGCAGGTGTTTTTGGCACTGCCCAAAAAACACTGCCGAGCCCTGGTCTTGCCCCTCTGCTTGCAGTCCCACTGAGCGCCATATTTGGCCCCCATGGAATTTTACCCCACGGTCAGATTAGAGCAGACTGTGGAGGTTTTTGCCTTCCTTTGGATTGCTCCAGCACCCGGCTTCTGGGATGTGGGCACAGCCGGCTCCCAGGAGGGAAGACCAGGCTTTGAGGTTAAAGCCTCAGCCCCAGGAGATGGGGGTCAGAGCTAAGCCTCCCTCCCGTGTGAAAGTCAGGGACCCCCCACAAACACACAGGTGCTGGGAGCCCACAGTCACTGGCCCAGCCCCGGGGGAGGTGCCATCTTCCCGCCCCGGCCCCAGCCCAGCCCTACCTGCGGCGCCCTGGCCAGGCAGGAGGTGGCAGAGGCAGATAACGAGGGCGAACCTCCGCGGGTCCGCATCGCTGCGCTGCGCCGGGCTGGAGGGAGCCAGAGCTGGGGCCGGACGGCACCTCGAGGCGCAGCGAGTGCAGCCCGAGCCTGGGGCTGCCCTGCACAGTGTGGCCAATGCCAACAGCCTGGCAGGAGGAGGTACCTGCCCGCATCACTCCGCCTCCACCAGCAACCCGGGGCCGGGTGGCCGAGCCAGGCTGCCTCTCACCTGCAGGTGAGGAGCAGTGAGTCGCTCGGGCCAGGAAGCAGTGGCTTCCCTATGTGGTGCTGGGGATGGGAGGAGGCAGGCCAGGTCTGCACTCTTCCCACACGCACCATGTCGGCAACATCAAGCTGACGCGGTCCGTGTGGGAACCTTGTCCCTTCCCCAGCCCTTCAGCAGCCATTAGGAAGCTGCTGAGGGGCTGGGGGATGGACAAGGGGCAGGAACAAAAGTAAACTGTGTTTACTTTTGTTTCCCGTCGCAGCACCACAGGCCACAGAAAATGCCGTATGTTCATAGAATCAATGAGTTCGAAGGGACCTAGACAGATCATCTAGTCCGACCCCCTGCCATGGGCAGGAAGGAGCACTGGGGGTGGCAGGGGTCATAAGACCCCAGCCAGGTGCCTATCCAGTCTCCTCTTGAAGATTTCCAGGGAAGGTGAAAGCACCCCCTCTCTGGGAAGCCTATTTCAGGCTCTGGCCACCCATACAGTGAAGTAGTTCTTCCTAATATCCAACCTAATCCTATCCTCCCTCAGCTTGTGGCCATTGTTCCTGGTGACTCCAAGGGGGACCAAGCCTACTATAGAAAGAGCCAGGCTTGGCCAAGCACAGTGGCAGTGGCAGTGGCAGCAGGGGTGGTTCCTCTGTCCCTTCTCCCACTCCTGGGCTGGCAAGGAACATCTGGTGGAACCCAGCTGCACCTAGCTCTCCACACAACCCAGCTGGAGAGGGGCAGCTGGAGACAGCAAGGATAACAGCAGCAGATACTGGATGCTGCTCCCACAGCAAGGTCCAACAAGGGAGGAGTGTGACTATGCAACTGCACCCCCTCTGGATCTGCCGCTGCCCAAATGTGAAAATGTGTATGTAGACATTTACTCAAAGGAGAAAACAAGGTTGCTTTCCAGTAACTGGAGTTCTTTGAGATATATTGTCCAATCACAGTTGCATCCTGACCTCCTTATAGTGGAGGAGTATATACACTATATAAAGTTCCCTCCTGCAGTTGAGAAAGAATTGAGGAGCAGGATGTGCACACTGCCTTTTATAACTTCAGTGTGGGTGTAATGTGAGAGCCAGGGCTGAAGTACACACTATAAATACAGTTAAGGCAAAAAGTCTCTGGTTGAAGTGCATGGGCACGAGACCTAGCTGCCAGCAAGAATGTATATACAGACAATACCTCTTGAAGAACATCAGTTCCTGGCAAGTAACTTCATTTTCCTATTCTCTTCCTTGCCCAGCCAATCTTTCAAGATACAGTAGAAGTGATTTCCATGGAGGCTGGCATTGGTAGGTGCTGCTTCCACTTAGGTAGTGACTCCAGCTTCCTCTGGCAAAAATGGCCCCTTTTAAGCTGAAATGTGGATGTTTCCCCAACTTTCTGAGGGTCTTTTCTACAGAAATACCTTAGCCTCAAAATGTATAGTGTCACAAAGGTGTAACTTCAGGGAATACCATGAATGGAAATTACAGATCACTAATTAACACTGTTCTGTTGTAAGGTTCTTCACAATGGGAGCGTGTCTCATAACTCTGTGCAGTGTCCAGCACAATAGGAAACCTTTTGGGAGTGTTTGTAATACAAACAATACTGCCACCTACCTCTTTTGGTGGTATTCATTCCAGCAATCCACTATCCCTTTTCCACGGTATATCTCAGCTAGCTTCTCCAAAAGTTTCCTGTTTTCTCTTTCAATGCTAGCAATTCTTTTCTGGTCTTCCTGTGCAAGAGATGCCAATTTTGTAATTTCCTGCTTCAGAGCTTTTCTCAAGAGGTATTATACTGGCTTAGTTTCCCGTCATCTTCTCTTGCCACTGGCCATCATCCCCATGCATATCTCATTCATTACCAGTTATTCTCACCTTCCAAACTCCACTGTGCCTTCCATCACATCCAAAGCCACTGTCCTGTCCTACATTTTAGCAGAACTGCCCCCTTTGCTTCACTCCTTCTAACCATCCTTCATCCAAATTATACATGTATTTTAAAGACACTAAAGGGTATGCTGAATCCTTCTACTGTCATCATCTTCATCTTCTCACTCCTTTCAATCCCCTTCTAATTGAATCTTTGATGCACCAAGCCTATAGGAAACCAAAACTCCCTGGTCTAAAGTATTACTTGGTATACCTGGCACCAGAGATAACCTGAGCAGGGTGCGGGGCCCTGCCCCTGGACACAAGGAAGCCAGTGGCGTATTTGGCGGCAGGGTGGATGCCAAGTGGCCAGATATGAAGCTGACAGCAGCGCAGAGTCACCATGCTGCTCCACCTGGCTCCGTGAGGCCCCTCAAAACGCAGGGCCCAGGGCAGTCGCCTGATTCACCCTGACTAGGGGCCTGATTCGCCCCTTGCTGGCCCTGCCTGGCACTGTGCAAATCATGTTGAATAGACTTAGATTAATATAGGAGAGAACTGAATCAATTCAGAAAATGGCTACATACCTGAATCCTGCTCACTTTAAAGTGATGGTGTGTCTGTACTTTAGGGGGTTTGTTATCAACATGAGGTGCTGTAGTAAAAGAGGCAAAATGGAAATGAAAGTTATGCTATGCAAAGCCTCAAACAGCTGTAGATCCTCCATTGCTTTCCCACAGCCATTTATTGCTCAGATTAATACAAAACCCATATCATTTCACAAGTCTGCTAGCCTGCAACTTATAGACCTAAGGTTTTAACACACTTATATAGTGTTATGTTAAAAATGAAAATACAAAAAAGGGCTGTAATCGGGTGTTCTAAGCATCCACATGAGATGAGACAAGAAGTGAAAGTCTTATGCATTTCTGATTCAGTTAGTCTATAAGGTGCACCTCTATTCTGTTATTCAGTTATTCAGCCAGTCTATAAAGTGCATCTCTAGCCTGACTTCAGACTAACATAGCTAATGAAGACTCTCTGCAACAAGGGAGATATAGGTTAGCAATAAGGGTGATTCAGCACTGGAAAAGATTACCTAGAGAAGGAATGTACATAACTGAAAGTTTTAAAGTGCAAGTCAGACAAACATTTAGTTGAAGTGGTTGGACAGGGATGCTCTTGCCTTGAAAAAAGGATTGGACTAGGTGATCCCCTGGGCCTTCCAGCCTATTTGTCTAAGATTCTCTGATGAATATTTCTCTTTTTTATTTAATGGATAGTTTCTGAGATGCTTCCTGAGAGGGACAAGGTTATAAAGCCCATTAATAATAAAATTTGAACTTGATAGATAAAACATTTAATTTTAGGAACACTTACTAGGTGGTTGTTTGTTCCTTGAGTTGTGATCAGTATCTCCCTTTTTCTTCCTGGTAGGACTTTGTCTGTAATTGGCAACAATCACAGGATAAGCTACACTGCCCATCTGTGCCTCTTCTCAGGTGCCAAGTAAGGAGGTTGTGTCCTAATGTAAAATAATTTATTTGTACCATGGAAAGTTGCCATAGATACCTTCAGTTATGACATCAGATGCCAGCACGTGCCATAGGTAGAAGACTGTAGGCTTCAGAAACCATTTTAGTGAAATTATCCAATCAGCAAGCAACTTTTAATTGCACGTAAATATTTCTTAATATTAATATGTAACTCATGCCCAATTGTGCAAAAAGCCTTTTAAATCTGTATATTTAAAAATGCTACTTATAATTTCTAATATACAAACAAAATGCTTTCATTGTTCTTTTAGTCCAGGCCTCCACATATTTGGAAATACATGTAAACCTTGTTTATTTGACTTGACTTCTCCTCACTATAGCTTTCAAGCAGGGACTCAGGCAAAACATAATGATTCTATAAGTAACCAAGTTGTTTCTCAAACATATAGACATTAACTGAAAGGGAATCAAAGGAAATGAATCAAAGGGAAATTTCATGCATAGATGAAACCAGTTCTCTTCAAAGAATTTGTTAGCTGCTCAATACCCTTGAAAAAAAAGTTAATCTTTTAGGTGCCTCACTATGGACTTTGAAGGCTTACCCTGACTCTGACTTTTAAAAAATGTTGTTCTGTATTTCTATTACTGATGCTAAAGTAACTGAGTGTTGGTAGGAAGGAAATATGCAACAAGAAATCTAAAACCACCACTTTGAAGCCTGTGACTTAAAAGTGATCTAGAAGCACAAAGCACTTCATCAGTCCATTTCATTCTGCTGGGTGTGGTGCAATCTATAAACAGAGAGACATAGTTATCCATATTAGTCTGAAGTCAAGCATAACCAGTAAGACTTCAGAGAACCCATGTGAGCAAACTAAATAGCATCCTGATTTTACAGATACCAATCTGTGGGAAACCAGGTAAGTGACAGACACATGGTAGGATGGCAGCAAAGCACAAAACTCTCCTCAATGCTATCCTCCTTTTCTTGGGTACAAATAATGGAAACAGGTCATTGCACAGGGTTTAGGCCTGTCATCAGAACTGAACACATACAACAGAGTACATCTTGGAACTGAGCCAGGGTTGCTAAAGCTGAGCTGTCAGCCTCATTTGGGAAAACAGACACAGAAATTATACTACACTGTGCACTTTGATTATGATATTTAACTGTAGCTCCTCTCTCCTTTCCAGGCCTCCCTGCTGGCAGACTGAGATGGTTTCATAAGAAGAAAATAAAAATGTCTTGGAGCAGACCTGAAACCAATTTGCTTGGTGATTAAACAAAAATCACCAAACATTATTTACTACAAAGCCAAGAATTCATCTGCTCAAGGGATGGACTGTCTGAAATATGAAGCCTACAACTTTTGATTTTAAAACACTTTAAAGGAGCCATTGCTTCCTGCTGATAAAAAAACAGGAACCAACATTAGGTCCAATACAGGAATAGTGTTAGAATTATGGTAATTGCTCTTTGCCACTACTTTTAATGAATGAGACTCAGTTTTTTGTAAAGGGGCATTTATATGGTCTACTCCCAGCCTCTCTTTGCTCACCAGTTTCAAAGAAAATACCTCCTGTCAGTGGCAGAAGAGTACTATAGCTCTATGTACTTGCACATTTATTACACGCACACTCTCTTCCTGAATCTCGCTTCTTTCCCCAGCATGACAAGGACAACCACGTTTCACCTGCTCCCAAACTTCCCCAGTTCAGACTTACCACTGATCTCAGTTTGCTGGTATCTGCACTCCCTGTTTTGATTATATGCAAGAAGATATGTTCTTGGTATGGTTCGGATGGTAGGGGAAGGCTTGGGCATAGGAGAAAGGTCTGTAACTGGAAGGCATGGGTAGGGGAAGCTGTCCAGGGTCCAAAGTTTGTTCTGAGGGAATGTGCAATGGTACTGGTTATGGACAGGTCTGGGTCTGTGATGGATATGATGCCTCTGGGCCAATGGAAGGAAGACTTGTGGCCTACAGCAAAACAGGGCAGAGCTCAGATGCTCTGCATCTGCTGGCTGAGGGCATCTGTAAGATGATTGCCATATTTTTCTCTCTGCATGGAGGTTCTGCATCAGTATTGGTGTAATCTGCCCCACCATGCCAACTGCCTCACTGGTAGACTCAGTATTCTGTCATACCTGAAACATCCCAGCACTCCTGGCCAGGTCAGCAGGCCAATTCTTCTGTCCATGTCTTCTGTGAGAATGCTACCAGGCATGAAAGCATTTTCTCCTTGCTCTTCTTTCTCCTTCTCCTCAGTCTTGCTACTCTTTGAGCAGTATTCTCAGCTTGTGTCTTTAATGGCTGTAATGGCTACACCTTTCAGCTCTTCTTTTCTATAATCTTATGGTCTTAAGTGCTACTTCTTACACATACACATATAGCCTGTAACAGAGGACCCCTGGGTCCTCTAGCATCCCCTAGTGTTCCGCTTTCCACCCCACCTCACATGGGGAGGAGTAAGCAGAGCACCATAGCAGTGAGTACTCTCTTATGAGCTCTACCTCCACTTTCCTTAAGTGCCCCCTTCCAGAAACAAGAGGCTCAAGGCTCCATGCTGCCCGAATTGGGGTAGGGCAGAGTCAAAGGCCCCCAGGAGACCAGGGGCTGCAAAGTTTCACTGATGGCCTGTTCTGTTCCCCCTTCACCCCCACCCCCCGTAGTGTGAGGAAGAAAAGCTGCAGCCCCCTGCCATACTCCCGAGCTAGAGATTTTGAGGTGCTTCAGCTAGGGGGTGGATGTCTGTCCATGGCTGAAATGCTACACCTCTGAAAATGAGCAACACTGCTAGAGAGGCTTGAAGGATTTGATTTTTCCTGTGCAGGTCAGAACCCATTGCAAGTGATAGTTAATCCCAGCTGTGGGCTGGGTATGGGCAGGAAGTACCAAGACTCAACTGTCTCATTGCCTGAAATGAAAGAGGGGAATCATCAATGTTAGCTCCTACATGGAAAGACAAAATAGTTTCTTAATGGCTTAGAATGTTCCCTGATGTTCCTTCTAAAAGGACATGCCACAGAAGTTATGGGCCTCCCATTTGTGCCTTTAACTAGGAGTGTGAAAGACAGGCCCTATTCGATTTGGATTTGGATTTGGATTTGGATTCGGCCCGAATTGGGAATAGTGATTCGACTGGTTGATTCAGATCACTGTCCCCGATTCGATTTGGCCAAATCTGAATCTGAAGATTCGAGACAGATTCAGAGAATCAGTGATTTGGACACAGACACAGCTTTAAAAGTTTTTCTACATACTTTGATGCAGTAGGCACTGCTCATGATTGCTGCGATGCTGGGGTACATGGAGTGTCCCACAGGAGTGTGGGGTGGGGGTCTCCATGTGCTCGGCCGTGCACCACTTCCGGGTCCGCTGGGGAGTGCGCTGAGGGGCCCCCCCACCTCCCCCAGCTTGGCGATCGGCTGCAAGGAGACCCTGGTTGCCCCACCCCACCAGACCCAGGAGGCACCAGTCGCTGAGCCAGGGAGGCCACCCCACGTGCTCCCCTAGAGACCTGAAAGTGGACTGGAAGTGCTTCTGGTCCACTTCTGGGTCTGCTACCAAGCACACTGGGGAGCCCCCGTGCTTCTGTGGGATGCTCCATCCCCCCCAGCATCGCAGCATTCATGAGCCCCTGCTATCTAGAGATATGTAGAAAAAACATTTAAAGCTGTGTCTATGTCTGAATTGCTGAATGTTTCCGAATCTTTCCGAATCGATTTGGAAGGTTTCGAGTCAATTCAGAGATTAAAGGGTCCTCTGATTCAATTCGGATTCTGAGATTTGGCTACCAAATTAGGCCGAATCTCTGCCAAATCGAATAAGGGGCCAAAAATTTGCACAGCCCTACCTTTAACCTGTGCCACAATCCTCTGACACTCAGCTTGGTTCCAATGACTCTTCCTCCACTGGGTGCTCTCCTCCCTCTAAATGGAGAGAAGGTCCATGGCCTTCACTTTCAGCTGCAATCACATGTGATTGCAGCAATTGGGAGGGATGCTAATCCCACAGTTAACCTGCAACCTACAATCAGAACCCCTTCTTTCCAAGGGAGTATAATAGGTTTGCTAGCACTGAGGTGTTCTAATGACTCCATCTTCAAGGTCCTTTTAGGCCCCCACTCCCACCCTATTTTGGAACCAGTACAAAGGACCCATTTCCAAGGCATTGCCCTACCAGATACGGTAACTTGGCATAAACACTTCTGGGTCTAGCTATGACCCAGACCTTGCTCAAAGCTAGCTTCTAGGTGTCTCTAAGCCAGGGGTTGGTTGGCAATGTGTTCCAGCAGGGGACCAGAATGACCCAGATCAAGACTGAGGTAGGTAGGAGCAAGGATCAAGCTGTGGTCCTACACAAGGAGAGCTCCGCCTCTGCCAAAGCTTGGGCACCCAACTGCATCATGACACAGGAAGACATCCTTCTCTGCCTGATGGATATGGTGCAGAGAGAACCCCCCACTGCTGTATGTTGTGAAGCTATGGCTCTGGGGGCCAGATTCAGACCACAGGCCATAAGTTACTGATCCCTGCTCTAAGCCTTTTGGGTGGTAAAGAAGTTAGTGATGCTGTCATAATGCAGGTGCCCTGGTACTCATCAGCGGGGTGGAATCTCTATCCCTGAAAATTTTCAAAACCAGGTTAGACAGACACTTATCTGGGATGGCTTAATCAAGGATGATCCTGTCTTGAGCAGGGGTTGGAATTAGTTGACCTCATGAGGTCCCTTTCAGCCCTATTTTACTATGATTTGTCCCTCACTTTTTAGAGTGCTTTAAAGTTGGGGTACTACAAATATTACCTCTGTCCATTCCCTTCAATGTCCTTGTCTTCACATCTTTCCATTTAACATCAGCTTTGGTCCTTTATGCTACTCAGGAGATGAAAGTGGTCACTCTCTTCTATTTGCTTCCTGGCGTGAGCTGGAACATAGATGTTTGACAGATGGATTTAAGCACCACAGACAGCATGGAGTCCGTGGGTTTTCATCTGAAGCTGAGCTAAAAAGATCCATTAAGATGACAGTTCCTAAAGTCCACCAGACCAATGAAAACCAGCCATATGGGGCTTCCTGCACAGATTGCTGAGTTATATTATTTATTGCTGCCACTGGGACTTCTGCTCCTCTTTATGTTTTGCTGTGTTCAGAGCAACCAGCCAAGTTCTTTCCTTTACCCATGCAAATGGGCAGTAATTCCAAAGGTATTATAATTGGGGTCAGTTTGGTCCAGTATGCCCAAAATTTAGAAGAGTTATGCACACAACAGTGTTCATAACCTAAATGCTAACTGCAAGACAAGAAAATCAGTGTAATGGGAAATAATAAAGTAAGCAGCAGTCAATCAACTGAAACCCACTAAATGGTTATAAGAAATGGGGAAAGACTGCCTTTTGCAATAAAAAAATCCTCTGGCAGCTTGCTCTCTGATATACAGGTTAAGGCAGTGGTGGTGATGTAGCTAAACTGGTCCTAGGAATATGTAAGAAGCAGGATTTTTGAGGGTAGGCAATATCTTTTATGGGCACAACTATATAGGTGGGAGAATGTATGGAGAAGCATACATTTTAGCTGCTTTAAAAGGGGAGGGGGAGATGATGTTAAGGAAAGCAATCAGCTGCTACAGTACAACTGTGTTTGCATAATCCTATAGAGATACAAATTTGATCACTTGCCCTAACATCAGCTCTGAATGGAAAAGGGTTAAAGTTGAAGTCGTTTTGCTGCATGAGTACAGCG